CGAATAAACGATCTTAAGAATGTTGTTGTTGGCGGAAACTCTAAGCTTTTTAAATAGGAAAATTAATTTACGAACTCGCGCCGACATTGCTTGTAAGTGTGGTTTCCAGGTTAAACAGGGATCCAGCTGAATACCGAGATATTGTATTACTGTTGCTCTAGTAACGGTGGGGCATGAACAAAGGGGAGAGAGGTTGGTGCATTTGTGGGCTTTCAATGTTAAAGACCCATCTGGAGGAAGAGTGGAGGATCTTAAGCCGAAAGTAATGAAGTTGGTTTTTTTTAAGTTTAGGGCCAGATTGTTTTTACCCAGCCATAGCATCACTTCACCGAGTCCTTTTTCGGCAATTTCTTTTGCTGAGGTCCAATCACGGTCATATGTTAGAATAACTGTGTCATCTGCATATGCTATTATTTTTGTGGAGGGAAGGGATAGCTGACAGAGTTCATTGACGTAGATTTGGAACAGAAGGGGACTAAGAAGACTTCCCTGCGGCAAGCCGATAACCACTTTAGTCGCGTCGCTAATATGTTCTCCAATCTTAACGCATTGCAATCTATCGGTCAGAAAATTACTGAAAAGAGTCAGAGCAATGCCTCGAACTCCGACAGTTTCCAGTTTCGATAAAAGTAGAGGAACCGAGACAGTGTCGAACGCCTTTGAAAGGTCTAGAAAAATTCCCAAACATTTGAATTTATTGTCAATCCTATCAACTACAAAGTCGAGTAAAGATGTCACTGCATCTTCGGTTGACAAACCACGCCTGAAGCCGAATTGGTTTCGTGAAATAATTTTGTGTTTGTTGAGGAAGTTATTCAGACGCTTGTACATTATTCTTTCCAGAACCTTGGAGATCGCCGGGAGGACTGATATTGGGCGGTAGTTGGTGACCTTGTCTCTGTCCCCAGACTTGTAGATTGGGTGTACTATTGCCTTTTTCAAGGCATTTGGGAATATACCTGTAGATATTGCCAGGTTGCATATATGTGTGATAGGTGGAGCTAGAATATGACTAGTGTGTATTAGCAATTTTGCTGGAATGCCGTCCCATCCGGTAGCACTATTAATTCGTAGACTACTTATAATCGATTTAACCTCTTCGTCATCTGTTTCTAGAACAACCATTGAGTTTGCCGTACCTTGTTGATCGTTGTTGGAGGCTAGGGGGAAATTCTGAGGAGAGTTGCCACTCGCTAGATTTACACCCACATTTGCAAAGAACGTATTAACTGTATTGACGGATTCAGTAGCACAATTTTCAATTGTCAAAAGTTCTGTTGATGCCGAACGTATGCATTTAGTGTCAGTCACATTGCGAATTACTTCCCACATTTTTTTAGGGTTGTTTTTAGCCTTTTCGAATAGTTTTTCTTCATACTCTTTTTTAAGTTTTTTTAGTATGTTGTTGCAGAAATTGCGGTATCTTAAATAGATTAATTTTAGGATATGATTGGTTGGCTCTTTATTAGTTTTATTGTGCATTTTGTCTCTATTACGTATGCATCTCAAAAGACCGATGGTAATCCATGGTTTTATTATTCTGTGTTTGCTTGGGATAGATTTGCGGATAGTATTTTTTGATAGAATGGGAGAGATGATATTTAGTAATTCGGTGGTGGCCTGATTAGCATCAGTCATTTTGCATACAGTAGAGAAATCACAGTTTATAATATCAGAGATTGCTTTTGAGATGTTGAGGCTAGATGTTTGAAGTTTGGTGTTTTTAGTTTTGTGTTTGCTGATCTCGAGGTTTAAAAGAATTGCTGAGTGGTCCGTAATCGATGTTTCCAATGTTAAGGTGGTTGCTTTGTTGCTGGTTTTTAGCAGTATATGATCAATACAGCTGTGTAAACGAGTAGGTAGAAGGGAAGCTGGAAGATATCCGTGAGATGCAGTCAGGTTCAGGTATTGCTGTGAACGTGGGTCATTACAATCCGGACTGATATCAATGTTCGTATCTCCAATAATTGTAATGTTATTGTGACTTTTAAGGTCGAGTATGACTTTGTTTAAGTTTTCTAAGAAAGGATCAATGTTTCTTTGTGATGGTGATCTATATATGGCTATAATAGTTATAATGTTTTCAAGGTTGCAGGTTAGACAGCTGGCATCATTAAAAGTAGGTTCTGTTACCGTGTGACGTAGGTTATTTTTGACATATATGACCAGACCGTCATTTTGATTAATTAAGTTCTGGGTTTGATGTGAAGAATATCCATCCAAGGTAGGGATGTTTCCTGATTTTTTGAGCCAGCATTCAGACAAAACTATTACATCGCATGTTAAGTTCATTGCAACTAAAAGACATCTAAGTTCGTTAAAATTTTTATTAATGCTTCTAATGTTTAAATGTAGGATATTTACGGTGTTTGAGACTTGTATATAGTCCGTGCAACGGTTTGGTTGGCACATGTGTGATGATGAAACTTGTATATCGTCTAAATCGTTAACTATGTTATTTAGAGTGGCCATTTATGTAACGTAGGATGCGAAGTATGAATGATGGTTTGTTATTAAGTCGAGTATGGGGCGTAGCTTGTTTTAAATAGAAAGGGTTGGTGGTGTGTGTTAGGAATATATAGAAACTGTAGCAATGTGAGTATATTAGGTGAGCTATGCTTCTATATAGAGTAAATAATGACGAGGCAAACTGGAAAATAACTGGTGTTCTGATTAAAATGTAATATTTTATTAGGTTTATGTATTGTGTTGTTTGTGTAGTAATATTGTGTAAGTATTTTATTTGAGTATGTAATGTAGACATAGTGAGGAGCTTTTTTGTGTATTTGAAATCTTTTGTATATATGTGGCAGTCTGAAAACAACAACATGGGTGTGTAACATAGTCATTTAGTCATTTGAACTTGCAGGTCAGCAAGAGATTGTTCGGATTTAATAAGCAGTTGTCTGGCACCTTCCTCCTTACGCAGAAATATATTTCCATTCGACGTCCAACAATATTTATATTCCATTCGTTTCGCAAATTCTCTCGTTACATAGAAGAGTTTTCGCGAGCTGGCAGGAAGATATTCTGCGACATAGATCGGCCGACGGTCGCCGCCCAGGCCAATACTGAGAGTGTTCAATCGTCCTTCAATGGGGTTCCCTTTGTTGAAGTTGCGTATGGAGGTAATCATTTGTTTTTTTGTCTCCACATTGGTGAATTCCACGACTATCGGTCTGACCGTTCCAGGTTTACCCGTAGGCGGTAGATGTCGCGCACTTGCGTTCGATCGACCGCGTGTTGATCGTTGCGCCTATCCTGCTAACGACGGAGGTGAGATCGGTTGCGGTTTCCTTCTCTTTGTTGGGAACGTTGCGAATTTCTATAATGGATGACCGAGATAGTTGCTGCAGGTCTTGTAATTTCGCATCTGCTGTTGCATGCTGTCTCTGCACGTCGTTTTTCTTTTTGCAATGACTCAAGTTGTTTGACATATCGTCATATTGTTTGCTAATGAATGTGACAGTGCTTTCCATCTCCGAGAATGACTTTTGCATTGAGTTATTTTGTATTTTTAGTTCGGCTATGTCAGAGACGAGCCTTTTTAATTGAGTACTTTGTTCATTTATTATTTTTGTAAGGTAATCTTGTTGTTCCTTTTTCCAAGTAGTCAACATCTGGCGTATCTCTTGCTTAAAGTCCTGGAGGTCGCTGTTTCTAGGTGACGATGCGGGTTCCTTGTTTTTAGGCGAGGGTGAAGGTTCTGGACATGGGCGTTTACTACGTGAAGTAGTGTTTACATTTCCGAAAGGACTACTTGACATCGCCTGTGGAATGTCCGAATCGGACCTCGCCTGTATTAATTTAGTTGTTGTGGAAGATTTTGGTGGAGTGCGTCTGTCTGACATTGCGCGATTTGAGCGATCAAAAATCGGTCGTATTTCGTTGCGATAAGGTTCGGCTCAAAGTGTCAGTGAGGTGCGTTGACACAGTTCGACACAGAACGCGATCCTTTCCAACATACGCACACTGTGTGACACTGTGCGTGGTAGGTGGAGCTTCGCACGTCTTACTGATGCTTTCAAGGACGCGGATCGACACGGAACGACACAGAACGCGATCCTTTCCAGTTAGTCGACACTGTGTTTTTAATACTACCCGTTATTTAAAATTGTTAGTTTAGAATTTATTGATTTATTTAAAAACCACTCAATATTTTTAAGTTCTGTTTCACAGTCACTCAAGTTATTTGAAAACACACGTCACAGTTTATTTCGTTCTGTAGAATTGTTGTTTTTAGTGCATAAATAGGATTTATAACACGGCACTCACTCGACACACGTCTCGACACACGTCTCACTCAGGTGACGATTCTTTTTTATTCACTTCAATTCTAATCTAATACCTTTTTAACAAGAAACGATTCGCATAACAAACTCGATTACAGTTGATGACAATCAATGTACTTTCATTGAGTGTTGCCATAGTTTCATGGTGCAGCACCATTGAGGCGGAGCGGAGAAGAGCTGTGCCGCGATTCACCAATCACATGGCTTGAATCCACATCTCTTCTCCACTCCGCTAAATTGGTTGTAGTTGATTGGAGAATCGCGGCACAGCTCTTCTCCGCTCTGCTCCGCTCCGCCTCAATGGAACTGCACCCTTAATGTTGTTAGTTCCTCAAGCATTCGTCGTTATGATCAGAGTATATTTTTTGTTTCTTTTTTTAACAAAACAATCTTCCATTTCAAATCCTTACTAATATTATAAATCTGAAAGTGAGTTTGTTTGTTTGTTTGTTCCACCTTCACGCCGTAACTACTCAACCGATTGCGTTGAATTTTTGCAGACTTAAAGTTGGAAGTCTGGATTAAATAATAGGGTACTTTTTAACCCGGAAAAAACTGATATTCCCGAGGAAAAACAAAAGTATTGGTATAGATGGCGCTGTGTGTATTGGTATATGTCACATAGGCTACTTTTTATTCTTTTGTGACGCGAGCGAAGCCGCGGGTAAAAGCTAGTAGATTATAATATTAATGGTGGTAGTAACTCACCGGAAGACCGTGCCACTGACGGACGCCATGAGACTGACGAATATAGCGAGGAACAGCACGATGGTCAGCAGTTGTTGAACTAACTTCAGATATTTTGACGCCTTCGTACCGCGCACGTTATCTGGGTGGGAACCTGAGGAAATATTATAATGTAATTAATTATTTTCTTTTATTAGTATTAGGTAAGCACCATGGAGGGGGGGGGGTCTCTGTTTTACTTATTTTGGATGATATGTTGGGTAGAGGAGTCTAGATCAGGGATGGCGAACCATTGGCACGCGTGCCGTTGATGGCACGGAACACAACATTTTGGGCACGACAGTGACTACAAAACTGATGAATGATCAAAAACCTACAACGCATTTGTGGTGTCTCGAATATTGCAGGTGTACTCAGACTGCGGTGACAGCTTACCAAGTCAACTGTATACTTTATTATTGCTAGAGATTGATTGTAAATATCAGTAGATGGCACACATAAAACCGTAAAATACTTTTCTTCAAAGTAATTGGCACGCTAATGTGTAAAGTCGCCTTCCCTGGTCTAGATGATCATTACGTCATTGGTAGTTATTTACTTTTTTCCACGAATGGCAACCCTCATATTGAAATTATAAATTACAAGCAAAGACCGACAAAGAACTAGACATTATGGTATCTAAGAGAATATTAAAATTACAATATAAAAAAGATATAATTAAAATGTTTACGTAAGCAAAGGGGGACGGGGCGGATCTTTGCTTACTTTTACTGACAAGGGTGATGGGGGGGGGGGGTTATAATTGTAAAAAATCTGCTTTAGTAATATTTGAACGGCCCCTAATATTATCAGAGCGGTAGGGAGGAAACTGGTGAAACCAGTAGCTAAGACAGCAGAGTAAATTCAAGGACGTCACACAGCATATTGTGAAACTTAATTAGGAGTGAGCTGGTCACGTTGCAGGCGAACAGGATTCGTGGTGCAAAGCAGGGTGTGACAAGGATAGGGTTGCCAACCGTACTCTAAAATAAAGTATTGTCCTCTATATTATGTAGGCGTACTCTATAATTTATAACACTAATAAAGTACACTAAAATACTCTTTTTTTACACAATGTTTACTTAACTAGTGCCAGTCTGTAATAATGTGCAAACACCCATGATCAGAATAAAAGTCTGTTATTTAATCTTAATCATAAGCATAAGCATAAAATAAATGATACTCTTTTTGTAAGTCCATACTCTTCATTTACCTCCTTTTAAATCAGATATACTCTAATTATTTTAAATAAAGTTGGCAACCCAGCACAAGGGGGAGGGAGGGATCCTAAACTTTATGATGTCACATTTCAAAAACTATTATAAAACACGAAATATAATTGTATTAAAATTAAGGTTTTTAATTTTGTTTGATTTGGTATAAATATTTTTTAAATAGAAATAAAACTGATTTCGGAACCGCTGTTTTCATTCAATAGTTTTTATACATATGTAATACTGCAAAATGTGACGTCACCCTAGGGTGGGCGGTCTCACAAATGTGACTAGCCACTAAGCAAATACTGGGTGTCAACTCGGCTAAATGCCACGGGCCCACAGCTGGAAGAGGCCCCGTTCAGAAATTTACATCTGATCTTCTGTATTTTTTATTGGGTACAGGGACTTATCCGATGAGTTTTCCACGTGTCCCGAATGGTATAATTACACCACTGCACGTAGGCTACTTGTTACACCACGGAATCGCGGGCGAAGCTGCTGATAAACATAACATCTCGCCTTTATCACCGAAGGGGTAGGCAGAGGCACATTACGGCACTTAAGACCACTGTACAATGTTTCATTTCAACATTCACTTTTCACTATTTATGTTATGAGTCCCACGTAATAGGGGGTGAGCCTACTGCCATAACGGGCACAATTTCAGACTTCGTGCTACTACTGAGATTTTTTTAAGAAACCCAGTAATACTTTACCCGACCCGGGAATCGAACCCGAGACCCCTTGCCCAGTAGTCGTACTTGCGGCCACTCGGCCAACGAGACAGTATTTTTGAAATCGATTACAAATCTCGTACATACCTGCTAGATACCCCTCAGCGAAAGCAATCTTGATCTTATCCTTCTGTTGATGAGTGAGGTGTGCGGAGTCTTCATTTAGTAACTTCTCTAGTCTGGGGGCCACCTCCGGGTTGGGGGGCTGCTTGTCTATGGGGTCCTGCGTGCCTAGACCTGGAACGAAACACAGGCTTATAGGAGATGTCTTCCAACAGCTGTTCCAAAACAGGTGTTTCACTGAGAAGTATCTGGAGCTGATTTAGCTCTATTTTAGATTACCTGGTGCCCCTTTATAGAGGCTAATATTGACCACAGGGGTAGATTTAGTGAAGTAATAATCGTACAGTCGTTCTCCCTAAAAACCTAGGTCCATTTTACTCTATCAGGGGTGAGAGTTCCCTGGAGGTGCAAACGTCCTGACAGGTTATCGTGCTCCGGCTCGAAGGGCATGAGTAAGAACATGGTGGTGTTTTGTCAGTAAGAGTCTGACACTCCCTAACCTCACCCAAGGCGAGAGAAGGCATCGGATGGTTTTACCCTCTCAAAAAAGTGGTAAGAATCCTGCACTCTTTCTTTCCAAGGGTAGGCGATACCAATAAGAGGTGACAATGCCACACTCTATAGATTTTCTTCCAAAAAATTAAAAGCCTTCGAACCACACTCTTCCTCTACTCAAAAACCTAAAGTTTCTCAAAGTTTCGGAGCATCAAAACCGGTTTAAAGGACACCCAGTGACTGCCAGAAACTAAGAACATATAAACAGACAGAATAACTTACGCAATCTACTAATAATATTGGGGTTCCGCTTCAGGTCTGCGTGTATGGCGCGCTCGGTCTTGAACCCGCGCACCTGCACCGCGTACTGGAAGGTGGGACCTTCCATGCCACGCGCCAGGAGACCCACGAAGTTGTCTGTGAAGCTGAACCTGGGGACGGAGTTATTCATTTAACCCTTTGACATTATAGACACAAAGAACAATAGGTTGCGGTCACCGGTGTCCTCGCAGTGTTTGACAGTTTAAATTACATTAAACTGTCAAACACCAAGCGGACACCGGTGACCGCAACCTATTGTTCTTTAATTGTGTCTATAAATACGGTACTCGACGAGTTAATCAAAATAACATAGCTATACACTTATTTTGTTTGTTTGAACGCGCTCTGGAAGTACTGATCAGAATTTTTCTTTTATGGGATAAGCCGGTAAACGAGCTGACGGATCACCTGATGGTAAGCAATCCGCGCCCAAACAAGCGCCCATGGACACCTGGAACACCAGAGGCGTTACAAGTGCGTTACCGGCCTTTTGGGGTATAGGAGTTTGAGGATCGTTGGGGATTCAGGGATTGGGGAGATTGGGGAAGGGGAGGGTAATTGGGCCTCCGGTAACCTCACTCACACGACGAAACACAATGCAAGCGTTGCTTCACGTCGGTTTTCTGCTAGGCCGTGGTATCACTCCGGTCGAGCCGGCCCACAGTCATAGTTGATACAACTGTATAATTTGTATCAATTGAGACATTATTACCTGGTATTCTTCCTAGAGAGATGCACAGTGACGGTGGGTAGCTGTGACCAGCCATTCTTGTTCTGGTCGAAGGTGTCTGCGGAGACATGGGACACCTTGCGCGAGGACGCTAGCTCGCGGAGACGCGGACGACACGCCTTGCTCGCGAGGGTACGAAGCTCTATGCTTCTCATCTCACTGGAATAGAATAAAAATAAAAATTACTTTTGTTATCCTTTTCATTATTATTTTATATTGCCTTTTTTTCAGTAGTGGCTTTTTTTGTTATTTTATGTTTGCGTATTTGGTGCATCATACGTCATTATGCAATTTGCCATTGCAAATTAATTATTTTTTCTTTCTTTCATACAATGAAATTTTGAAGAGTAGGTAGTCATAAAGTGTCGGGTCCTTTAAATCGAACGCAGCGCCATCTACTTCAAAGTACAAAAACTTTTAATAAATGACTTACAGATAACATATTTTTAATATTACTTTTATTTTGACGTCATAAAACACACAAAATTGGTAAATATAGTTCAAGTGACAATACCTATGATAAACACGGTTTTATAGAACGTGTACTGTTTTCATAAAACAAAATATACACGTGGGTTTACACCTCTGTCTACCTCTTATCATTTTGAACTTTTATCATCTAGGTTGGGGTCAATATTAAGTTTTAACCGGATACTATCTTCATGTCATAAGAGTCTATCTATATGTACATACACACAAATAACAGTCACATAATCTATACAGGGTGTCCGGTAATTAATGGGTAACCTTGAAATGCCTTACAGTACAACTTATGGCTGTCCTGAAAAAAATACAAAACAATTTATTTTTAATGGGATGAGCCGGTAAACGAACAGACCGGATCACCTGATGGTAAGCTATGGGCGTCGCCCATGGTCACCTGGAACACCAGGGGCCTTACAAGTCCGTTACCGGCCTTTTGTGACTAATCCCAAATTCCTAAGAATTTGTGGATTGTTGGGAATTCAGGGATTGGTGAAGGGGGGTAATTGGGTCACCCAACTACCCCCCCCCCCCTTATATCGTAAGTAGTATCTTTGATATCTTTATTATAGAAATGTCTTTTTTTTAATATTGAATTGTAATGGTTGTTTATTGTTTTATTATTATACACCTTTGATTATATAATGTCTAAATGGAGTGTCAGTTCACGAACAGCGGACCAAAAATTTGCATTGAACTGTTCAGTGCAATGCACTTTCCCGTCAAGTATTAACAATCATGTCACCAAAGCGTTACTACGTGCATGCACGCTACAAAATAAAAAGTCCACAGACTTTACAATAACATAACATCACGCCTTTTATTCCCGGAGTGGTAGGCAGAGGTGCACATTATGACACTGTACAAAATGTAACACCCACTTTTCACTATTTATGATTTATGAGTGCCATGTAATAGGGGGTGAGCCTATTGCCATATACCGGGCACAATTCCAAACTCCGTGCTACTACTGAGAATTTTTAAAAACCCAGTAATACTTTGCCTGACCTGGGAATCGAACCAGAGACCCCTTATCCAGCAATTGCACGACCACTAGGCCAACGAGGCAGTCTTTACAATAATGTCTGTTTTAAGTAGAATTTATAATGTTACAATTCATAACTGTATCTGTCATGAATAGTGGCTTATTGCTATTAATGTACAACAGGAGAAAATTTGAATAAATAACATAATTTGTAATATCGGAACATTTTAAAATTGAATAGAAGAAAATTGTTATATTTTATATTTATTTCTTCTAATGTAAAAATTATTAATTACAGTAATCATAGATATATAACATAGATGTGTGACTATTGTCTACGGGTAGAATTTAAGATCCATCTCGACGGTAAATTCATAAACATACTGTTGTTTCTTTTTTACTCAAATAAAAAACTTAAATTAAAAACTACCCATAACTTAAAAAAATTAAAACTAAATATTACTAAATTAAATACCTATATACAACTAAAGATTAAAATTAATTATAAGAAAAAAACAAAAACAACTATTGACATAAAGCGTCGAAAAATTCGTCCGCATCGACGTCAGAATTGAATTGTATCGCATCATTGAGGTATAATAAAAATCACATTCAATAATCACACAACACAGATAAAATAACTCGCTTCACATACAAATCCTCAAAATGCTGAAGAATAAACGACCACAGTATTATAAAAGCATTGTAATCTGTGTACAAAGTAAATACGGATAGACTGTATGACGTCACAATCCACTGGTTATCTTGCCAAGCTTGTCACACTCAGATAAACATAATATAATAACAAGTACTTTATATTTACATACAATATTAGCATATGACGGCAGTAGAATCCACTTGTCACCATCGCTACTCTTCCCGCGTCGTTGTATATCCGACTAAGGGGTTTATTCCACTTTGTTCACCTGGGTGATTTCACCTAGACAGCTATAAGCTGGAACTCCTAGCGTAGTGTTAGAAATTGTGATATATTTTTGCATGTGTAATAGACCAACATTAATCTGATATTTGAACATATTAAAATGTATGTTAAATTGAAAGTTTTTATTTAACTTGATGTAAGGTAGGTAGGTGATATAAGTCCACAACGTAAAAGTAAAAAGTCGCCTTTGTGCACCTGGGTGAATTAAATTGACAAGTGAACAAAGGAGACTACTTGAGTCAACTCAATTTACCTAGGTGATATCACCTGGGTGAAATAATTCCCAGGTGAATTGAGGACTCCAAAAAGTCTACTTTGTTCACCTAGGTGAAATCACCCAGGTGAACAAAGTGGAATAAACCGACTAAGGGACTACACACAGTGCCGTATTTAGGTACCATAAGGTAGTTGGGGCCCGAAGGACCGACAATTTCTACGACAGACCCACACCCCCTAGACCACTGCTACACGTTGTGCGGTAACCGGTTAACGTATAGCGGGTTCGATTCCCACACTAAGCAAATATTTGTGTGATCCACAAATTGTGGTTTCGATTCTGGGTGTCATATGTATGTGAACTCGTATGTTTGTAAACGCATCCACGATACAGGAGAAAAATGCGTATGTAAAAGAAAAGGCACGTTAGAAAAGTGCCTCGAATCATTGTGCCCAAGAGCCGTAGCTAAGTTTAAGACGGCCCTGAGTACACATTAGACAGAGACCGGGCAGCAGTGCTCTCTGAGAAACCTGGACCATTTATACCGCGAACACCACCGTAAGCGCGGGCCTGCGGACGGCGAACATGAGTGATTCGCCGCCCGACCAGAACTAGACCACAGCGTACGGCGCGTCGAGTTCCGCGCGCGCCTCAATGAGCCATCAGACCACCACATATGGGGCCCAACAGGGCTGATGCCGATACGAAGTCGCGGAGAACCTAACGGGTTACCGGGGTTATGATTTTCCCCCCTTAAAAACATAAAAATAATCATTCAATTCGGACCAGTAGTTCCGGAGATTAGCGCGTTGAAACAAACAAACTCTTCAGCTTTATGTAATAAACAGTATATAGGTAAGTATTAGTTTAGGCTGAACTAAGATCGTGTCAAGGTTGAGTAGAATACATTTGTCAATACCCTTACTCTTGACGCAGGTGTCGTATACCCAGCTAAGGGGGTGGCGTCTGCCACTCCTACTGACTAAAAACCACCACGTTCCTACTCCTGCAATTCGAATCGGAGCCCCGGCAACCTTTTAGGCCTTCCGCGGCTCCGTATCAAGCATCAGCCCTGTTGGGTCCCATTTGTAGTGGTTGGGTGGTCTGATGGCTCTTTGAGGCGCGCGCCGAACGCGACGCGCAGTACGCACGGGCCTGGTTCTGGTCGGCGAGCTATCCTTGCTCACCGTATTGTGAGGAAACCTGGGCTTATAATTTCAAATTATAAGTTTGAAATCGCCAACGTATTTAAACGCTTATAGTTACTTACTATATTATGTATTTGTATAAAAAACGATGTTTTATATGTAAATTCTTGTAAAGGTGATATTGACCTATGTGCACAATAGTTTAATACTATTCATACTGTAGAGGGTACATAATACTATGTAGTAAACATGTTCAACCAAAGGTTATTGACTTATCCATTACATCATTAACTCGTCAAATGACAAAAATGTAAACAACAATACTAGTTTTAGTCTATACTAAAAGATTTTGAAGTGTGGGAGAGCCATGCTTCGGCACGAATGGGCCGGCTTAACCGGAGTGATACCACGGCCGAGTAGAAAATCGACGTGAAACGCTTGCGTTGTGTTTCGTCGTGCGAGTGAGGTTAACGGAGGCCCTATTACTTACTCCTAATTATTTTTAATGTTCCTCGATACATGAACTATCATCAATTCATCATCATCAACAGCCTATAAGTGTCCACTGTTGACCAAAGACCTCTTCTCACACGCAGAAGGCTTGAGTAATAATCACTACGCTTGCTCAATGAGGGTTAGCGATTTCAAACTTATACTTAATCAGAAATTATAAGCCCAGGTTTTAATTATAAGCCAACGTTTTTTCCTTCAGTTTGTCAGCGGTGTCTAAATCATCTTAGAAAGTACATACAACTCGGAAAAAGTTACATTGGTACTTGCCGTTGGTAGGTTTCGAACCCCCTAATGCATGAGAAGCGGGCGTTTTAAAATTCCGGGCGACTACGATATTTTTGTATATGAATCAAAAGGGTAAAACTATTACATTTCGGGTGTGACTCCAGTCAATAACTGATAGAACTACAAGTTTGTTAGAAACATCTATTAACACCTGATATTGCACATTGATCCCTAAGAATATGCGAATTAGGATTGTAAATAATTGGAAAGACTAAGTAACTGTGGTTCTTATCAGAAAGAATGTTAAACACCTTAAAACCACGTTTGTATAATACCTACCTATCGTGAGACAAACTAAATTTACTAAAAATCGCGAGTTACTCACGTAAATATACTGAAAAAAGCTCTACTAGTTTCGAGCCACAGAGGGGCTCTTCTCGGATCGCAGCGATGTCGAGCACCGTACTGCTGGTAGGCTCGAAACTAGTAGGGCTTTTCTCAGTATTTTTACGTGAGTAACCCGCGATTTTGAGTTAACCATAAACTACATTATATGATGGTAGGTATCTTATCTAATACTTGTGTTATAAAGCATAAACAAATCGATATTATGTAAATAAATAAAATTCGGGTGTCTGTTTGTAA